TCTCTGAAGAAATTGTTCAGATCGGATCACTATGGTATATAGCTGCCATATAAACTGACCAGTTCAAATCAAGTTTTTAAGAAATCTTTTGTAAATATTTTTGAAGCGTATTATAGCTTTGGTGCAACTGAAGTTAACTATTTTTCTTGTTTATTGACTTTTCGGTCTGACAGATGGCTCTAGGTAGTAAAGTCTACTTAGCATACTATATAAATAAATATTCTCTAGTTCTGTGAATATCATTTCTATGCTTACTCGATTACCCGAAACGTTTTTTTCACAAAAATCCAATAAATTATATAATTTATATACAAATAGTTACTGTGTAAATTGCATTATTCCCTCTTCACTGTACAAAATGCGTTCTTGACTTAACAACACTTTTAGCGATTTGTTGCTTCTGCGCACTGCAATCAGCGCGCCCAATGCAATTTACTACAATCAGTTATCAAGCAATTAGCTGCAACGCTGATTTTACTAAATTTCAGATTTTTCTGACATACTTTTTTCTGCATTCTACTTTACTTTTTATTGCACTTAATTTGCCACACAGCCATTCATTATGGCTGCCAATATTGCGAGCAGCTTGCAACGCCTAAAAAAATGGCTGTCTGTGTACACCAATGCACACTTAGTGGGTGGAGTCTTCATACATACATAAATTTTAGTACATTTGGACGTTCAATAATTCTGTTTGATATATGGGATGACACACACTTACTTATTCGCCTGCAGCGCTGGCGCACGCTTAGAATTATAAATGTGGCTGATGGCAGAGAATGCGTTTTATTGTTGCCACACGAATTGTTGGCAGCAAAAAACAAAGCACACTGCGAACAAAGGCTCGTGCTTTTGGAGTAAAGCAGCAAAATTATGTGCGTAATTCACATAGAATTATGTGAGACACCCTGCTACCCCTCAGACTACAATAGATAATGCGTAAATAGCGACTGTGAAGGCGAGCAGTATTGCAACTAGTTTAGCGGTTTCAGTGCAACCCACGGAACTTTTCTATGAAAGAGCGAATCGGTTCCATTGTTCCATAAAATTTTGCGCTTGCAAACAAAAAAATAATGATTTTAATGGCCTTGCGGAATGGTGTAGATGTGGTGGTTAGAATCACAACAGAAAAGTTTGTGTACAGCGGGACGCCGTATCCTTTGCATTGAAGCTAACGAACGCATGAATCATTCATGAATATTTCATCTCAGTACTCCAAGAGTCAATACATACAACTAGTGTTGCCATTTTTCAGTACTACTGCGTGGCACACTAAAGCAGACGTGATGAGAAATGTATAAGCCATTCCTGCTACAGTCGGTTCTACCTAAATGGAACGAACACGGATTTTTGTTCGGTCAAAGACTGTCAACTCGCAAGAATTTTGACGCTACAACAACAGCAACAGAAATATATAAGATATTTCCGTACTTTGCAGTCTGAAATACTAATGGTTAGCAAGCTTACCTATAATGAATTTGAGAGCTGAAGATTTTTTTCAAAACCACGAAGCTTCAAAAATAACAGTGACTGTCTAAGCTCAACTATATAGAAAAGATTTTTCTGAACTTCTGAACTTTTTTCAACTACCCGAGCAATTTTTCAAGGCTTTGTATTCAAGAAACTTCAAAACAAGAAATAGTTCTGATATAAATCTCCTCATATGTTTAGTATCGAAAACATTGTATATGGCGGACCTAATTACAAAAGCACAGAATATATATTTCAGTATCAACAGGGGCCTCGATATAATTGCCTAAGCGACAAACGAATTATGGTATAGCTAATGCTTGCCTATGACAAAATAAGTTCAAAAGTCAGAACTTTAACTAATTCAGTGGTCTTAATAGATTCCTGTTGCGACGCTGTATGAACTAACATTTACAAATCGCTGAACGGTTGCGAAGGGAATGGCAAAGCAAATTTGCTTAAAAATATATATGGGGACTGCAATGGATTAAGCAACTGAGAAATTCTAAAATGCTTAAAACACCTGTGTCCTCAGATATCAGCAGATTGCAGCGGAAAAAGTTCTAAAATAGTCATAACACTAAATCTTATACATTAAGAGAATGCTACCTGAAAAAATCGAGAGGCTACACATAACGTAACATTCTGTTAGCTGAGCATATAGCCTTAGGTTTAATATAATATTTTTTTATGATGAAAATTTCTCGGAAACTCTGAACTCGCTTCGATCTTTAACCAAGCACAGTAATTTTGTATTAAAGTTTCCAGCAACAGCTAGCAAAGAACAAGCCTAACCTCAATTGCGATCTCATCAGCACGAGTAACAGAGAGAGAGAGAGAGAGAGAGAGGGAGATAGAGAGAGAGAGAAAGAGAGAGAGAGAGATAGAGAGCGAGAGAGAAAGATGTTTTTGCCATTAAAGTTACTTGCGTTTACCGTTAACTTAGCTGGGCTAAAATTTTTTAAGGAAGATTTTAACATTACCTAACGAAAAATGAATTTAAGAAAAAATTAAAACAACCAAGCTGTAGCTTTACTTTGAAAAGTGCAGCTGGAACACAGTTTCAAGATATCCAACCTCTTCAGCCATCGCTTAAATGCTTCTCTTATAAATTTTCCTCTTCATAAAGTGGAATATTCTAAATCCAATCGTAAGAACACAGACATTTCGTGTTTAAGAACTCGGCGTGCCGTTTCGTTTCTTGGCACTAAAAATGCCTAAATTGATGCTAGAATTCTTGCCTTCGTCAATAAATAGCATAATTAAAGGCAAGAATGTGCCAGCAACTATTTAAGAACGGATTCTCAAAATCATTTGTCTGCTTAATTGCCTCAGCTGGCTATAAACGCTCGTAAATCAGCGTCGCACGTATACATTGACAACAACAATAACAATAAAAACGAATAGTCAAATTAAAAGTTACAACTAGAAATAAATAAAAATGCAAAATGCTATAAAGAAAGCAACAACAACAAGCACAAGCACACATTTGAGTACAACTAACAAGCAACAGTCGGCAATAACAATATATTTGGTGTTGTTGTACATGTACTGTATGTACATATGTATGTATGCGTTTAGTGATTTGCAACATTACATTCATGCCAACAACAACAACCACAACAGTAACAGCAACAATCATTTTGCACTTCACTGCCACATCATTGGCAAGCAAGTGCCGCCGCAAGTACAAGGTGGCATGTGACAGGCACAGTGGCTGGCTGAGGCTCGAGCGCGCAACTGAAATGTGCGTGGCGCGGCAATTTAAGCCGAAGGCGCATTTAAATTGCGCTTTAATCGTTTACCAACAACGATGAAAATCTTAAATGCCAGCCGACAGATGAATTGTGGAAGACAAGCATTCGCGGTCAATAGACGGATGTCGTTGAGGAAATGCAAGTGGAAACACTACGAATACATATATAAGTAAATATATATAATATATATATAATATATAGGTTGATATATGGGTGACTGCATGGTTGCAAGGATGCAGCTTTGCGTAGTTGTGTAAATAGAGAAGACGATGCAGCAAGGCAAACGACGAATGGCAAGTAGACGAATGTCAGTATGTAGATATGTTTAGATATGCATTTATATACATATTTAGTTTTATAAGTATAGTTTCTTGTTGCACATCTTTCGAAAGACTTGCTCTGACAATGCAACAATTCAAATATTACTTTATATGTGGCATGCCACATGCTGTGCTTTGCATGTTTGCCTATAGCTTTTAGAGCCTTGTGCTTTTGTAAACTTCTACAAGTTCATATGTACATATATAAGTATATTCTGATAGTAGCTGTAATTGCAGCTGTCGCCGCTTTTGTGTGAGCTTCATTGATTTTTTTTGCAAGCGTTTTTCTTCAATGTCAATTTTATGTGGCTGTGTTTAAGGTGATCAAAAATTCATAGAAAATAGCAAGTGAGGCATATTTTTTATTTTGAAACCTTGCTACCTTTCTTTGCGATGTCTCATTTTTACTAAGAAAATTTAAGTCGAGTTTCTACACTGGAGAGTTCTTGACTTGATTATACTTAGGCTGGCCGTTGCTTCAGAAATCTTTTCAATGCTCAGAACTTCCCCAAACATAAACAAGAAAAATGGTAAATTTCGGTTGCATCAAAGTTATTTGATTTAGGTGAATTTTGTATAGCAAAAAAATATATTTTTCTTGATTTTGATCAGTCAATTTATATGACAGCTATAAGTTATATTGCTCCGATTTGAACAATATATTCGAAGATTGTAACGATGCTTTGGATAACAATCTATGCCAAATTTCGTGATGATACCTTGTAAAATGAAAAAGCTTTCCATACAAGGGCTTGATTTTGATCGTTCAGTTTGTATGGCAGCTATATGCTACAGCGATCCGATATCGGCATTTCCGGCAAATAAGCAGATTCTTGATGAAAATAAACGTGAGCAAAATTGCAGTGCGATATCTCAAAAACTGTCTGTCTCGCACATATACAGACAAACATCGTGGCAAACATAATATAACCTATTCATGGTATAATAACTCATTTTATGCAATATCTAACTTTCTGCAACAAAAAATATATCACGCTAAATTGTGATGCCACAAATTAGACATTTGCATTAACAACTAAATGGTTTATTACCACTAACCACAACAACAAAGCACACAGCTTTAGCAAACATCAGCAAAAGCCGCAGAAACGCAATCGCCAGGAATTAGCACAATGGCTAATGGTTTATAAAGTAAATAAGGGTATATATATGTATTTTCGCTTGTTTATGTATACACGAAATTAATTTGATGAGCTGGCTACTTAAACAAATAGACAGCAGCGCCATAAAATTAATGCGCGCAAATGTTGCATGCTCAGCAGAGAACACAAAACACAAAACAGTGAAGCGCAGCAAAAATTAAGCGCAAACAAAGTATAAAATATATACGAGTAAATATTTCGTGATGATACTTGTATATATATATACATACAGAGTGAACACAATATGTACAGTACTTTTAAAAAAATGATTACAACGCCAGTCTACTCACCATCATCTTCGGGCACCTTTTTGATGGCGCTCCTGCTGGGTTTATTGCCCGCAATCAATTTGCCACGATAGACGCGCTCGTTTGGTTGCGCCGCCACCACTACATTATTCTGCACTGATTCATCGCCCACATTAAGATCAGGCGCGAAATTGCCTACAATCGCGCCAGCTGCATCGTCACCGGCCGCCTGTTGGGCAATATCTTCATTTGCCAGCAGCTGATTGTGCTCGAGTGGCGGCACATCACCCACACCGCGTCGCTGTTCACGTCGACCACTCGCTGCGTACGTGCCACCATCGTCCGCTGCCACGCCGCCACGATCTACACCAAAACCGCCACCACCTTCGTAAATGCCCTGCTCAGCGTCGACCGCGTTAGGGGGCGCGCCACCACCGGCAACACTTTTCAGCGCCAGCGACATGCCGTTCCATTTGTTGCTGCTACCTTGTGCCGCATCATCGTGGTAGATGAAGAACGCCACTGTGAACCAGATGGCGGTGAGCACGGCCACGATTTTCACAATGGACGCAGAGCGTCGACGCCAAATGAACGCCATTTCGTATGTGTGTGTGCGTTGCTTCTAAATTTATATTGGTGTTTTGTTTGTGTTTATGTAGTGCTGTTGACTAGTAGCTGTTGCCTTACAATTTTTTGCGCGTCGCTATTGCCAATATTTCATCTAAATGCATGGACCCTAAGGCTGTCACACGCTTGCAATTACACTCCTGCGTCGTCAGTTTCTCTACTTCTAACGTAAAAATGAGTTATTTTTGTTATGTGAACGCGCGTCACGTCACTGCCGCAGTGCTGTATTGAGATTTGTTTATTATGCGCCTAAATGTATGCCTCAATTAGTTGTAATTTATGCTTTGTCGCTTTCGCTGATTGCGTAGCGCCGATTTGCGTTTACCTTGCGAGTTGCTGTGTTACATGTGCCTGTTTTATATAAGTGTTTGTATATTTGCGCAATTTGTTAGCATAGCGTTGGGCGTCTAGCGTCGTTGTTTGGCTTAGTGAATGCGTTAATGTTAGTAGTTATTGTTGTTGTGCATTATTTAGTTTCCATGCACTGTTACGCTGTATGTTTTTTTTAGCAAAAGCAGCTTTGTGCCTCTAGTGACAATTATTATAGTCGCTTGCGCCTGCAGATATACTTCAAAAATTTTTTTGTTTTTTTAAGTAAATGCTATTGATATGTTTTTTGCTTCACTTTAGTTTGAAAAAATATAAAATGTGTTGCTGAACGCTTTGTTTGTTTGTAGCGTTAATTTTTTTAACAATTTCAGCTTTTAACTTTTTTTTTATAAATATTTTTTTTATTAATATTTTCCAGCTTTTATCTTTGTTATTTTGTTTTAATTTTTTTTTTTAATTTTCGGCGTTTCGTCCTGCTACTATTGTGCTCCTTTACGCTTGCTTCCCTCCTTCCGCTCGTTGCTCTCTGCGTTTCCGCTGGCCACTAAATCGTTCGCGGCGCACTAAAAATTTTGTTTACGTTTGCAGTTTTCCACGTCAATGGCATTAGCTGTATTTAGCTTGTCTTGCTCTCATTCAACTATTTTTTCACACCAACATAATATTTTCTTTTCTCACTTTTTTGTTTTTCTTTCTGATTTGAAGTCTTCTTCGTGCGTCTTTTACCGTTGCTTACGCGTGTGCTCACACAAAATTTGCGCAAAAATCACAAAATGCATGGACTGTCTTCTGTCTCTGCTTTGCCTTTTCGCACATGCTTTTCATTTGTATTTATTTCTTTTTCACCGTTATGCACTAGTTGGTTTTGTTATGCGCGCGTTATGTTTTTTGTTGCTTTTTTAACATCCACTCTTATTTATTCCTTTCTTTTGCGCTTTTACTGTGTTGACCTTAACCGCATTGTCGTTCTCGGTTCATCGCATTAATACATTTGTATGTGTTTTTGTATTTTTAGCCTTCAGTTTCGCCTCATCACAATTCAGCTCTTTCCTCTCTGACACTTGCTGTTGCTCGTGCTAGTAAAAAGACTCTTGTCTTTTGTTTACTTTTATGTCCTTTCCTTAGTGCTTCCCATATAAATTTTTATTTTCATTTCAGCGCTGCTGCTTCGTTTGATTTATTTGCTGTTGTCCTTGTTGTTGTTTTTATTTATCTGCAAAAAAATTGAAAAGAATGCGTTAAACAAAAGTAGACCATGTTGCAATCGATTGGGTTGAAAGTTGAAACTTTTCGTGACACTCTTAAGCTTACGCGATTGCTTGCTAACTTGAAAAGTGTTGTAACTCAAAAAAATTAAAAAAAAAACTTTTGTTAGATATGCAAAATTGCACCTTATATAATATTTTAAGCCTCTAACAAAAAATCTCATAAAGTTTCAAAGTCAGATCTGTAGAAGCTGTATTTTTTCACAGATACTACTTTAACTTTTTTTAGAAACGTCTAATGTAAGTGTGTTAATGGTAAACATTTGGCGAATGTATGCTTATTTGGAAAAAAATTGTTTTGCTCCCATGCGCGAATAAAATATATCGTATAGCATAATAAATTTTTAAATTTTTCTAGACAAAAATTAGTTATCTCTATATTTTTTGACAAATTTCTTCGAATATATATTTTCTTTTATATTCGTGTTTATTGCTGCTTTTTGCATATGGCTGATGTATGGCAAAAAACTCTAAATAACGGCATGTATTGGTTTAGCCATATCTTACTGTACAGCGGTCAGTTGCTTAGACAACTAGCTTCACACAAAATAATATGACATCATTCTGTTGACTGAAAAATAGATTTTTTACCAATGATTTCAATAACGCAATCAACGAAGATGATCTGGTGCCACAGATAAGTCTAAATTTATATCCTGAATTTTGCTACGATGTTTGTAATACCCAAACGGAAACGTAGATAACCCTCTGAGGCATACGAGCACATATAAATGATCAGCGTGACGAGCCGAGCCATTTAGCCATGTACGTCTATTTGTCAGTAGTCTGTATATACGCGAACTAGTCCTTTAGTTTTTGAGATATCGAACCGAAATTTTGCACAAGTCCTTTTCTGCCCAATAAGCAACACATTAGTCGGAACCGTAGATATCGGAACACTATAGCATATAGCTGTAATACAAACTGAACCATCGGAATCAAGTGCTTGTATGGCAAACTTTTTCATTTGACGAGCTATCTTAACGTAATTTGGCACTAGTTGTTGCCTAAGGCAATGATGTAATCTCCGAAGAAATGGTTCAGATCGTATTACCATAGCATATAGCTGCCATACAAACTGAACCATCCGAATCAAGTTCTTGTATGATTTGATGAGATATGTTCATGAAATTTGGCAGGAATTATTATCTAAGGTAGCGGTACTATCTCTGAATACATTATACAGATCTGACTACTATAGTTTAAAGTCGCCATTCAGTTTGTCACGCTGATCAAAGTCACTTAAAAGATTTTCTATACCCTTACCCCTATCTATGGACGTTGCTCTCTAGTCAAAATATAATTTTTAAAGGCTGTCGCAATAGAAATATGAATTGAATTCCAAAAATTATAATTTCAAATAATATAAACAATTTACGACTTTAAAGTTTAATTAAATTTATTTCAATCGACGATTATGCTCTATCATTATTTTAGTTTTATATTCTTCGGGCACCTATTTGTACGAATATTGGCATGTTAGATACCACAATTACAACTTTTTCCTTACTTACGCTCTTATCATTTGCGTCACCTACTATTTCTATTACTGAACTACGAAAAATTGAATATGTCACTTTGTTATTGTTTTTACATGCTGAAAGCACACTAGGTTGACATGCTTTATTTATTTTTGCAAGCAACTGACATGAAATCACTTAGCTAAATAAATATTTACAATAAACTACTTTCAGTTTCTATTCAATGGGTTGATTAAATCGCGGAAATTATTGAAATAATAATAATTTAATGAGCCAAGCATTTAAAAAAAAGTTTACCCCAACAGCTGAAACGACAAAGTTGGCGACAAATAAACAAATATTATGACATAAGAAGCTTAGGCTATTAAAATTTAATTTGCCATATCAGATTAATATTAGGCGCAGATAAATATGTACAAAACTACTTTAAGCTAAGTAGAGTGGGCTGTGTGTGTAATTCTGTGATTGCAAGACTGCCATAATAAGAATTATATTTTTTTCTATTGATTATGTAGTGCCGAAGACTTCTTAATTTAGTCAATTAGTTAATTTTGTGTAATTTATAGTGAGTTATTTAAATAAATCAATTAATACAATTAGCTAAGTGTCTAAATAACTATGTATAAAAAAAAATTACTAATTGACTAAGTTAAGGTATTATATGAAACATGTACCGATATGAAGTGAGCGCTAAGATATTGTACAAATATGTTGGTAGCGAACATTTGTTGTAAACGAGACTTAATTTTTTTTCTGTATGGTTGGTTGGTAAGTAAGCGGTCTCAATCAAGAGAATCTCAGCAAAGAATTAGTCAAATATATAAGCTTAATTCGATCGAGATCAAAAAGACTAGTCGCCTTCAATTATAGCAGGTATCCAAAGGGCTAATTATTGTAAGAGCAAGAAGAAGAATACGATCCCACTCATATTTTCTGCGCAAAACAACGCACTTTGGAAAAAAAAATTTTTTTTAGCCTTTTTAAAAAACATTTTCAAATAACATATTCTGAATTTAAAATTAAAAAAAAAAATTAAAAGCTTTTTATCAAAACTTTTCTTATACAATATATCAAAAAGATTTGAAATTTTCTTAGATATCAAAAATCAGGTTAAATCCAACAGGCGGCAACATTTCTTAAAAATATATTTTGCCATTGCATAAATTTTAGACTTCACATAAAAGGTATGCTCATGAAATAATGAACAAACAAAAGGCTCCGCAGCACGTGTCCACTTTCGAATACTCAGCAGCGTGGCCCCAAACTTTTCCGATGAAAAAATACTTAACAAACCGTCCAATCATTCAATGTTCCAAGAACTCATGCATAACTAAACAAAAAATGAGTGCTTTTCGCTGTTGAGCGTAATCTATTAAATCATTCAATACACGTAAAAGGAAAAAATGGCATAGAAGAAGGAGAAACACCCACACATTTGCAAACAAGTAAGTCAAATAAATAACAAAGCTTTCGCCACCCAAAAACACCAACTCACATCTGCTAGTTGACAAAACACCAGCAAGTAAATAACTATTTATCGGTTTGCCATTACCCCACCCCTCGACCAAACTTTCATATCCAACCGTACTTTGATTCATTAACCGATTTGACAGCTACGATTGACGTATATAAATTACGCCGTGACAGCTGAATGAGCAACAAAAGTGCAAAATGGAGTGTATTGGATATTGGCGCTCATTCTTTTCCCGTGTTACAGTTATTAAGTTTGTCGCTTTGTTTCACGTTGTCCTATGCAATATTTAATTGCCTAGATTATCGTTGCCTCGATAGCGCTGATTTGAGTGGTGTGTAGCTTTCCGCAGTCCGAGTGGGCCGTATATCGACCGAGAGAGCGAGAGTGAGTGGGTGGTGGCAGTAATGACAAAGCGTTGGTGTTGGTGTAGTGATAATTAACTGACATGAGAATGTTTTCAATTACCATATTAGTGACTAAATAAATTAGCGAGCGCGTTCAATAGTTGGAACGAGGTGATAAAATTAGTAAAATGAAAGCGGTGATAAGTTAGTGAAGGGGAGAATAACTCAATATAACGCAAAACAGCTAACAATTTTGTAATAAAGATAAGAGTGCAGCAATCGAAATATATTTTGGTATTTAGTTTAAAGGAGAAAAAGCTATTAGAAAATATATAGATAAACATATGCATAACATTTAATAGAAGTATATAGATACACTTTTTCAATTTTTCAAGCCTATGATTACAACTAAAAAAATTTTTAGACGATAATTTCCTACATAACGATTTAATTTTACAAAAATATGTGTTATTTTATAAATTCCTTGAAAAAAATTTGGTGGCAACTCTTAATGAAAATACTTTTAACTGCAAGTCCTTTTAAAATTGTAGATTTAAGATTATATTGTAATACAGCATTCATCATAGCAATATTTCTGTATTAAAATAAATTTTTAAACAGGTGGCAACTATTTAAAAAAAAAAATTTATTTAAGCTCCAACTTTGTTCCTAAATTTTAATTAATTATTAAAACGTTAGGCCCAGCAATATTTTTTGATTAAAATTTTTAAATAGATGGCAACAAGCCTAAAAAAATATTTTAAATTTGGCTGCTAGTTTTTATGTTTTTAAATTTTAAATTTATGCCTTTATTCTAAATCTTAGTTAATCTTTATTACCTTAGTTTAAACAATGTTTTTGTATTAAAATTTTTAAAACGAATGGCAACTACCCTAAAAAATTATTTTTTTTTTTATGAACAGCTTATATTCTTCAAAATTTATACCTTTATTTTAATTTTTAGTTAATCTTGACAATATTTCTCGAATAAAATTTTCAAACAGGTGGCAACCTTTTTAATAATATTTTCCTTGGCCAATTTTGTAAACAGCTCCAATTTTCATAATTTTTTTTTATGTTATAAAGTTTTTTGCTTAAAACTTGCAACAGGTGGCAACTTCATATATTATTTATGGAATTTATTAAAATTATTGTTTTATATCTTTATAATATTATATATATAAACATAGTGAGTTACAATTATGTAAAACGATTAACAACTTGAAGTTACAGAAGCACAAAGAAATCGTGAAAACCAAATCGTGGACAGTCGTGCATAATCGCCATTGCTCGCTAATGCAGGTAAATTAAAAGCAGATGAACGTGCAAAAGCAGAATAAATAATAATTATCTGGCACTGGCATTGCAGCCGCGAGGTACGAACTATTGCAGATAACAGTTGGCAAAAAGTGACTGGCTAGAAGAAGCACGTTCGCTGCAATTAAAATTAATGATGTTGTGGCAAACTATGGTGGAAATATAAAACGAGTTCATATTAAAAAGATAAAGAATGAACATATAAAGCATAAGATAAGGTAAAGAATTATGCGAAAAACTAACGAAGCCAATCGAAACTGGAAAAACCGAGTGATAAGTAAATGAAGAAATATGAAATAAAAACCAGAATATATCTAAAGATATATAGCGAG